ATAAATATAAATATAAATATAAATATAAATATAAATATAAATATAAATATAAATATAAATATAAATTATAAATATAAATATAAATATATAAACATAAATATATAAATATAAATATATAAATATAAATAAATAAACATATAAATAAAACATAAATATAGATAAAGAAACAAACCCAAATACAACCACCAACCCACCCAACAAAAAAAAAAAAAAATAAAAATAAAAATAAAAAACAAAATACCATTGTTTCCCCGCAAGAACAGCAGCACAAATCTTCGTCTTCCTCAAATCAGGCAGCTCTCGCAGCTCTTCTCTGCTGTGTGCATAAGGACAGCTGCTGCCGCGCATGCAGCCCCGGCTCTGGTTATCTAAACAAAGTTTTGTTTTATGCATTTGGGTGGCCACGATACTGCTGCCAGGGTGTGAGGGGCCCCCACTCGCAGGGCCTCCCTGGGGGACCCCCTGGGGGGGGCCCCCCTGCGGGGGGCCCCCCCCAGGGGGGCACACCACCATACTAGCCACACATACACTCTGAGGGGTGGGGGCCCCCACCCTTGAGGGGGGGGCCCCCAATACCATTGCTACTGCTGCACGCTGGGGGGCCCCCCGGGGGCCCCCTGCTCGACGGCGTGAAGGGTTTGGACTGCTGCGGGTAGATACTATACATGGTGTTGCTGCTGATGGGGTTGTAGGAATTCCTGCTGCTGCTGCTGCTGCTGCTGCTGATGCTGCTGCTGATGATGATGTTGCTGCTGCTGCTGGTGTTCCTGCTGCTGCTGCTGTTGCTGCTGCTGAGCTGCTGTCGTTTGCTGATACTGTTGAAGCTGCAGGAGCTAACGGTTTGCTGCTGCTGCTGCTGCTGCTGCTGCTGCTGTTGGCGTTGCTGCTGTTGTTGCCGCTGCTGTTCTTGTTGCTGCTGCTGCTGTTGCTGTTGCTGTTGCTCCTGTTGTTGCTGCTGCTGCTGCTGCTGCTGCTGCTGAGACGGGGGCCCCCCTTGGAGCTGCGTGTGGCCCCCGAAGTGGGGCCCCCCTTAGAAGCCTTGTTTGCTGCTGCTGTTGCTGTTGCTGCTGCTGCTGTTGCTGCTGCTGCTGCTGCTGCTGCTCCTGTTGCTGCTGCTGTTGT